CGAAGGTGCTCTATCCTTGATCTCCCATCTGATGTCGAATCCGCGGTTCTCGTTTTTCAGATCCCAGATGTGCTTGGACAACTTAGTTGATGCGGCGTACTTTTCATGGCGGAAGTCCGAAGTGTGTTTGTTGTAGCGCTGCTTGAATGTGGTAGCAGTCATGCCTACGTAGGTCTTGACTTCGTTGGATGCTACATGTGCCTCGTACACGACGTCGGAAGACTGGCAGTCACCGTTGAGGGGGCACGACGCCTCTGACGCCTCTGCCTCTGAAATAGCCCGTCCCTGTATACATTCACGCGATTACTCCTCTCGCTATCGTATTATCACACCTCTCTCCACTTAGATATACCAGCGCTGCCTCCTATTCCATTATCGTTGTCTGATGATTGGTTCAGCCATGAAACTCGGAGTCACAACGGAATAAATTTGCCAAGGTTTTCATTGTGTGCCTTTGTGTACGCCGCTCTGCCTGAATCAGGCATTGAGCACTCTTGCAGAACCAAAGCATATTGCCTCTGTGAATGATTAAAATATAGACCAAACTGCTATTATATAAGGTTTCCACATACGAAACTGGCATAGCTGAGGTGATAACGCGGGAAAGGGAAAGTGTGAAATATTGTTTACGCGCATGGGACATGCATGCAGCGTCAGAAATTCGGCGCGGAAAATTAATCACTATGACTATCAATGCAGAAATAACGTGCCAGAATCAGTGTACTGCGTAGCTAGTGAGAGTCTGTGTATCGCACTTGTCCGAGCGCCATGAAGGCCGGCAAACGCACCCCACGACTCGCCGACGTCTACAGCCACAGCAGCCCCTGGGGCATGACACTGTACTGCTCGCCCGTCACGCCAAGACGCTTGGCAGTCACTAGGCTTCATGCCACCGGTGTTGTCCGCAAGTTACCTTGTTATCTGCCCATCACCCACTGCCGCTGACACGCTGGGATGCCCCACGGCATTCACCCAGTATATCGTCGTCAGAGCTGTGTCGACGGTACTGTTGAGTTCGAAACAGGATGACTGACAACGGGAACAAGTTAGTGGGAACGACATTTATTATAGACGACGAGACAAGAGACCAAGACGAACGAAACGACTACATGGTGATTATTGACAAGTGAGAAAAGAGAGAGAGAGATCAAGTCTGAACGGCAAGATAAAGGGCCTGGGTAGCTATGGCAAATATGGGCGCGCAAGTAGCTACCCAGGCCAACGGAACAAAAGGAGACAAAAGGTGAGTACGTAAGTGCATGCAGGCCAGCTAGAAAAGGTACGGGAGGAGGTACCTAACATACAACCCCTCCATGAAAAAAATCCCGCGTCCTCGCGGAGAGAAAAAAAAGAGAGAGAAAGATTTAAAAAAATGAACTGGAGGAGAAAACACACACACACATACTGCACGCGTGCATGGATCTCACGAAAGTGTTTACTAAAAATGCACTACAGATCATTCCTGTACTACTTATAGTGTGTAATAACTATTGGAGTTTGACGAGGAACGTGAATTACTAGTATTTTGCACGGCTAATACAGCCTAGTTACGCTTTTGCTAAACATCCAAAAACTAGAGCGTGGCTCACCATGATCGGACCCCTAACTTGGTAATGTTTTACGAACACACGCGCGTGCACACACTACAAAAAATTCACGAAAATAAATTTGACGAAGAAGCATACAAAAAAAAGAAAGAGAGAAAGGTAGCTGACCTGCATGGCTTGAACGAGAATAGACGAGGTAAGGTTGGCGTAGGAGAGACGAGGTTGATAGAGACGAGACGAGGTTGGCGTAGGAGAGACGAGACTGACATGGACGAGACGAGGTTGACATAGACGAGACGAATGGTGGTTGAGGACGGCTGGGCATGGGATGATCTCAGGGTCGTGGGTCGATCAATAATCGGGCGCCAATGTTGAGTTCGAAACAGGACGACTGACAACGGGAACAAGTTAGTGGGAACGACATTTATTATAGACGACGAGACAAGAGACCAAGACGAACGAAACGACTACATGGTGATTATTGACGAGTGAGAAAAGAGAGAGAGAGATCAAGTCTGAACGGCAAGATAAAGGGCCTGGGTAGCTATGGCAAATATGGGCGCGCAAGTAGCTACCCAGGCCAGCGGAACAAAAGGAGACAAAAGGTGAGTACGTAAGTGCATGCAGGCCAGCTAGAAAAGGTACGGGAGGAGGTACCTAACAGTACAATAACGCTGGTAGAAACAAACAGTTGGTCGTATGGTATTGCGTCCTCCGGATTGTCCCGTGACTCGTCTTGTCCCTCTTCTTGCTCTGACGCTAACGGCGCACGTATCATAATTATTATTACAGGGTGCGACAGAGCTCTCGGCCATTGAAGAAAATGTTGAGTCACCTCCACCATTACACTGCGCTCTTTAGCCGACTAGACCCTCCTGCACACAACCATCACCATTGCGAGGACACTTCCGTAGACGATATTGATAAACTCCTTCAGACAGCTATTTCGCTAATACATAGCTCATCAGTGAAGGTAGATGTTGAATGATTAAAATATAGACCAAACTGCTATTATATAAGGTTTCCACATACAAACACTCTGACTTGTAATGTATTGAATATCGTTCACGCCAACTTGTACTGTATCCTTGCAATGCCGTTGGCTCTTGACAGTCTGACTTGGAGTAAGAACAGGCAAACTGCAAACTGTGGGTTTACAAAGTGGATTACAGTCAGTTGTTCTGACCTCTTTCCCTGTACGGATTTGCTTTGCCACAGTTGACAACAAGCGTTTCAGGGAGGATAGTGAACTCTTTGAATTGTTCCAGTGTATGGTCTACTGTTGAATTTCATGGTTTGCATCTGTTTTCCTTCTCGTTTATGTGAGATAAACCGCTCTGATTTTCTGCTTGTTTATCTCGGGCGTGTGGTATACCTGCGTATATCGTACATGTTTGCACTCTCATGTTTCTTATTATGGTACTGCATATCCTTTCATGGACGTGCGTAGGGACTCGGCAAATATGCCGGCACTAAATCGAGCATTTTAGGGTGCAAAAATCACACGAGCATAATCGGTGATTTCGCGGGCATAATCGGCGGAAATGAGAAATTATTTTTCAAAAATATGGGGAAAAGTGAAGCCAGCCGGCAGCTAGTACAGTGTAGTTGTTGTGTTCACTACTAACACCTCAAAAGTTTCAGGATCCCACAGACGCCACAAGACAAAAGGTCACGTAATTCTTTACGGACTATAATGAATGAACAGTAGAATACATTGAGAAGAAGAGACTGGAAAAATACGAACTACATCGGAAAGAGAACTCTAGAACACTAAAGAAAACAAACCACAGCATCAAGGAAAAGAACAACGCATGAGGGGTAAAGCGCTGGCCAGCCACAACGTGCGTCCAACTTTGGCATGAGCGTACAGAAGAGCGTACAGCGCTCGGAAAGCGGAAGCTAAATTTGGCGGCAAAGCGACAGCAATAGTACGGCGCGAGGCACATGAGCAGTACGAGGCGCGGCACGTATACGCGTGTGCGGCAAACATTACACACCATGTACCATATATGCATGAACAGCGCGGGGCGCATGCTAACTCATTCAACATCAGTGCGCGGCGCAGGCATCTAGCTAGCTGGCGCAAGCATGATCATAATTGCATGCCATCACGCAATCAGCGCACATAAATCGCGCATCAAATAAATAAGTAATCAAACACAAATCAACACATCAACTAAATAAATCCACGAGCTAGTAAGAACACAATTCAAAAATGCAACGAAGAAATAATTACTATTCTAGTCGGTTATTCGCATGGGACCAAGCGCAATGTCCAAGCTGATGAACTGTGATTGCACAAGGTAAGCCCAAGCTCCTGAGCTAACCGTTCTGGTGTGCAGTCTTCTTCGTGCTGCAAACACACACTACACAATGTGTCGTATCTCGTAACAAGTACTGTACCAAATCACAACGAACACTAACAATACGCAATAGTAAACAATAATCAAAAACACTACGCAAAAAAGCAAAGCAAGCAGCACCTAGCCAGGGAGACAAGCAGGAGTCACGGTCGCAGCGAGATCTCGACGACACCCCAGAAGACCTTTCTCCGACACGATACACAACAGTAGTGTAGCTACAGAGTTCTTGTTTGTTGACGACTATGGCGGCCACACACGGTCAACTATGTAGTAGTATACTCTCAGTTTTTGATATTTTTTGTTTCCTTTCTGTTTGAGAATGCATCTTTTTGTGTTGGATGCGAAAAAAGACCTGGATTTCAAGCAAATATTTGTGAGAGTTTCTTGGAATTATCGGCATGGTTTCAGGCATTATCGCCTTGTTTGAAAGAATTGCGAGAAAGCATGATGGGTGATTTTTCGAGCATATTTGCCCGGTGCCTAGACGTGCGTACGATCTTACAGCATACTACTCATACTATGCATGCATGTGTGTACTCCGTGCCCATAATCGACAGTGCATGTCTCTTGTTGCTGTTCACTCTTTCCTTGGCAGCTTCCTGACGAGTCGTCCTCTCAGTTCTTCATTGCATTATTCTTTTTGATATAACTAATCATCACTTGATGATACCACATGTTGTTCGATATTGTCTGAGGCCACCTGATGCCTATAAGCGACCTCAGTTGACGCCGATGGAAAGAATCCAGTCGCTCCTGAGCTGTCTTGGTAACCACCCACGTACCAGAGTTGTACAGCAGTACAGGGATGATGAAGGCTTGGTATAGCCGAAGGCGAAGGTTTTCGCTGACCTGCTGGCCTCCGTTTCCGGAGGTTCCACAGGCCCCGAAAGGCAGCTGCCGCCAGTTGTTCCCTCCTCAGCACATCCTCGTCATCATCAATCAGACTTCCAGGTTTTCGTGTTGATCTCCATTCTTCTTTGTTACGATCATTGAGTCTAGTGATTCGCAATAAATGATTGTTGACGTGTGTGTGTGTGTGTGTGTGTGTGTGTGTGTGTGTGTGTGTGTGTGTGTGTGTGTGTGTGCGTGTGTGTGTGTATGTGTGTTTGTGTGGTGTGTGTGTCAACTGCAGCCAGCTACTTCAAGACATGTAGATGTACGAGACGGATGGAGGTTTCCTGTTACTCACCCGGTTACTGTCCCTGCTCCAACAATGAGAGTGAGTTGAAAGACATGTTTGGCATGATATGCCAAACATTGTATCATACAGAAGAAGAAAAAGCCTAAATGTAGGTAGTCACTGGCCAGAAAAATAACACTTCAAACAGCTGTGCGAGGCGGAATAGAGTGGATAGTGGATCATGACTTTTCTGGAGTGCCACGATGTCGCGCTTTTAGAACGGAACGGTGATTGTTCTGACGAAACGTCATTCAACGACTTGACCCTTCGCAGCATTGCAGTTGTAAGTCGAACACTTTACAGGGAGGATGTCACAGAAGCTACACCTACAAATTCGCTGAAAAGTTGTTGAAAACTCTGAAGTGGTCGAGAAAAACCCTTGCCTTTGCGCGCTTCGTGATTTGGAAATGGCTTGAAACACCGTCAGAAGTGTATTTGGTTCGCTACTTTGTTATTAGGAAGAAACTCCCATTTGAATTTACGAAATAAAACAACCAACATCATAAAATTGTAACTAGCTAGCTGGTAGCTAGTGCACAATGAGATTTTGAAACCAAGAAAGTGGACATAGTTTACCATAGCAAAACGCCCTTCGCGCTACGGTGTGAGATGCACTTTCGTACTGTAGGGGTGACAGTGCATGGGGTCAGTGTGTACTGGCCAGCAGATCTTGCAAAAATGGGGTGGGCGTTTGCAGTGGACTTTGCGGCACGAATAAATGCATGATAAAAAAATACTTTTGTCTCCTCATCGACTCTTTCGAAAGTGTTGCCGGGAAGGAAAGTTCTTTCTCATGATCAGAAAGCAATGTGAATGGTTATAGTCTCAAACTTCAGCCAGGCTGATAATCCTTTTTGATGTACAGCAATATTTGGGGAAAGAAATGCTGGATTTCCGAACCACAAAATTGCTATTTACCCTGAAACAATTTTGTGAACCCGTCATTCCGTTTACTGCAATCAGAAACTGGTTGCAGAATGTTTCCAATCACTTGAACAGCATGCGGACTCTAACGATCATGCAATGAAATCTAAGCGTATCCTTTAGTGCTGTTAGGCAGTCGTGATAGTAGTTACTTCGAAGTAGAATGGTATGGGGTAGCAGTGTAGCATGACATTTATACAGAATATGTCAGCATAAACGGGAGGGCACATTGAACTTGTATGGTATATATGTTGGACTCAGTAGAGCGTCCAGCCCCTATATGATGTCCAACCCCTATATAGAGTCCATTGGTCCAAAATCCACTGTACAGAGCATACTGACCAACCACCAGAATCTCAATCCCTTGACAAGACATGCAGGATCCCTGGATTTTTCTCAAAATCCCTGGATGGCACAAAAACAAGTGAAAAAGGGCTTTTCCTGCCAAAAAAGTTCAACTCTGCAGATCTGCTTACGGCACAGTTCGATCCTGCATCGCAGTTCGATCAGTCGGCGCCTGCATAGCGCCTGTCAGTGCAGATTTTGTGCCAGTTGTTGTCAGGTCTTGAAAGTGCCGTGCACAGTTCGAAGTGCGAGTGCGCACCGTACATATTTTTTGAAAAAACCGGGACATTCGAGGCGAATCCATGGAGTTTTCAGGAAAATCCTGTATCAGACGAAACTGTGACTTTTCCGGGAGTTTGCTTGAAATCCCCGGGACCCCGGGAGTAGTGTTGATTTCCCGGGATTTTCCCGGGAAAACCGGGAGGGTTGGCCAGTATGACAGAGTCCAAACTTGAAATCAACTGTGAGCTCAAAGTATAGATGGACATCACTCCCTGTATAGAGTCCAGCCAATTGGCTTCAACCCTATATAGTGTCCATTGGTCCAAAATCAACTGTAAGGAGTCCAAACTTTGAAATCAACTATAAAGAGTCTTTATGTGGACAACGCTTCCTGTATAAAGTCCAGCCAATTAGGCATCCCCTATCCAGAGTTCGAAATTAGACATAGGATCTGCTGTAAGCAGTGAATATTAACCAGAAAACGGCCTCTCCCCTTAATCCTTTACATCATTCACTTCTCAAGATAAAAAATAAGTATTGAGGCGCCACTGCAGCCACTTCATTACATGAAAAACCCTACAAACACCATCCTCAAATCAAGTGGTCTCTTCGCAGACGCTGCAAATTACAATAATCTCAATCATGTAGTGTTGCCAAATTTTTGTGCACGCACACACACACATGCACACACCCACACAACGCCAAGAAAATACCTAGAAAAAAAAACAAGAATCGAAAGAGAATAAAGGAGAGCCAAGGATTAATTATTTGTTTTCAAATTATTGTGTGCACGCACGCACACACACACACACACACACACACACACACACACACACACACACACACACACACACACACACACACACACACACACACACACACACACACACACACACACACACACACACACACACACACACACACACACACACACACACACACACACACACACACACACACACACACACACACACACACACACACACACACACACACACACACACACACACACACACACACACACACACACACACACACACACACACACACACACACACACACACACACACACACACACACACACACACACACACACACACACACACACACACACACACACACACACACACACACACACACACACACACACACACACACACACACACACACACACACACACACACACACACACACACACACACACACACACACACACACACACACACACACACACACACACACACACACACACACACACACACACACACACACACACACACACACACACACACACACACACACACACACACACACACACACACACACACACACACACACACACACACACACACACACACACACACACACACACACACACACACACACACACACACACACACACACACACACACACACACACACACACACACACACACACACACACACACACACACACACACACACACACACACACACACACACACACACACACACACACACACACACACACACACACACACACACACACACACACACACACACACACACACACACACACACACACACACACACACACACACACACACACACACACACACACACACACACACACACACACACACACACACACACACACACACACACACACACACACACACACACACACACACACACACACACACACACACACACACACACACACACACACACACACACACACACACACACACACACACACACACACACACACACACACACACACACACACACACACACACACACACACACACACACACACACACACACACACACACACACACACACACACACACACACACACACACACACACACACACACACACACACACACACACACACACACACACACACACACACACACACACACACACACACACACACACACACACACACACATACACACACACACACACACACACACACACACACAGAAACGTATACAACGCCAAGAAAACACCAAGAAAAGAGTAGAGACACAATACACACGCAACTCCAACAGCGATGCAAACGTCCACCCATTTACACGTAAAGTCAAGAGGGATAACAAATAATTATACGAAACGAATGCATACGTGGGCGGATGCACGCACGTTTACATACATGTACATGTAGTAGTGTGAAGCCTAGTTCACATTCGACGGGGCGCGACAGGACGCGACGTAAGGATCGACGGGACGGTCTGACGGCGTGCAATGTGAACACCAGGAACGGGAACGCAATCGTACTACCGTACAGATCGGGAAGCGACGGGAAGAGTTGGATCGATCCAACCCTTCATACCGTAGATGGGCGTAGACGGGGACGCAAGCGTACAAAACAGCTGCAATTCGAGTGTGAACAGGAGACGGCATGTAACAGTTTTCCCCTGTTCTCTATAACTTTACACTCCCTCGCACCTCATGCGTCTTACGCCTGTCTATTAGCACCTTCATTGGCGCCATTGCCACATGTATACTATCACATTTTGCATATAACTGGTCGAGGCACGCTCAACCAGGCCTCTTACTTTTCAAGTTTGATTAAACCTGTTACACTGGTAGCAGAGGATGGTTACTACTCTGCTTTTGGCAGGTGTTCTGGTCGCTCTGCTTACGCTCCTCGTACTCGTCGTTCGGCTGATAAACGATATCAAGACCGCTCAGCGTGTTAGCCAAGGAAACCGAACGATACATCCGAACTCGGAACCGTGGGAGCCAACACACCGCCTTACGAAAGAGCCGCCTGTGTTTGGAGGAGATTCCGCTACATTCAAAGAATGGACGTTTGCAATGGACATGGCCCTACGGTCGTTGGCACTCCCAAATGCGGCACAGAGGGTCGACTACGCGGCAGGATTTTTGACTGGAAACGCTCGTCTTTGGTTGATAGCGGCATTGGAAGCTAACCAAGTGTTTTCCGACTGGCCTGCTCTGAAAGCGGCACTTGGCGATGTGTACGGACCACGGCACAACGAGGAAACATCGCGTATGGGACTAATTTCCGCAGCGCAGCGCGGGTCGCTGGACGCATACATTGCTGCTTTCACTCGCCTCAGCCTGCAAGTGCCGGAAATCGACCACCACACCAGAGCGCTGCTGTTCGTCAGGGGTCTAGTGCCGCACATCCAGCGACAGGTCATGCGTGAGCATCCACGTACCCTGGAGCAAGCTGTCATGGCAGCAAACACCGTGGAGCAGTCGTCAGGGCCACCGGCGTCGGGGCCACCAGCCAGTAGAGAGTCGCGTTCCGTGCCCAGCTTCCGTGGTCAGGGCCTCCGCAAGCTGACGGACCAAGAGCGTGTCCAACTGCGAGCAATGGGACACTGCTTTGCTTGCAGGAAGCCAGGCCACCTCGCTAAAGACTGTACTGAGGGTGGACAGCGCTACCCAAACGCTGGTCGCCAGTAAGAAAGGGGGTGCGCTTACTGGCGACGACCCAAGCGCCCACGCCGATACCAGTCGCTAACCGGTTCGGAGCTCTGGAGGTTGAAGACGTTGCTCTCCAGGAACCTACGGAGCCGGAGACACCCA